TATTGGTCAGGCTGGTCTGGAACTCCTGACTTCAGGTGATCCACTTGCCTCAGCCTCCCAGGGTGCTGGGATTATAGGTGTGAGCCACCACACTCAACTTTTTTTTGGATTTTTAGTGGAAATGGGATTTTGTCGTGTTGGCCAGGTTGGTCTCAAACACCTGGCGTCAAGTGATCCACCCATCTAGGCCTTCAAAAGTGCTGGGATTACAGGCATGAGCACCACGCCTGGCCCAAAAACCAGGTTACTGAGTTTTCTGCCATCTCTCATATGCCCTGTGGCTTTGGATAAATCCCTTTCTCTTTCTTAGAAGTGACCCACATGGTGGTTCACACTTGTAATCCCAGCACTTTGGGAGGCCAGGGTGGGAGGATCACTTATGCCCAGGAGTTTGAGACTAGCCTGGTCAACATAGCAAGTCTCCATCTCTACAAAGAAAAAAAAAGGTAGGCTGGGTTTGGTGACTCACACCTGTAATCCCTTTGTAAACACTTTGGGAGGCCGAGGCAAGCAGATCACTTGAGGTCAGGAGTTCAAGACCAGCCTGGCCAACATGGTGAAACCCCGTCTCTACTAAAAATACAAAAATTAGCTGGGCATGGTGGTGGGCGCCTGTAATCTCAGCTACTCGGGAGGCTGAGGCAGGAGAATCGATGGAACCCAGGAGGTAGAGGTTGCAGTGAGCCAAGATTGCACCACTGCACTCCAGCCTGGGTGACAAATCGAGACTCCATTTCAAACAAAACAAAACAAAAATAGACAGGTGTGGTGCGTGCCTGTGCTTCCAGCTACTCAGGACGCTTAGGTTAGAGGGTCGCTTGAGCCCAGGACGTCGAGGTTGCACTCCAGCCTTGGGTGACAGAGGAATACCCTGTCTCAAACAAACAAAGGAAAAAGCAAGTCACCAGCACAGCACAGGGGAAGCAGCCATTTGAGCCAGTCCCATAGATTAGTTTCCCTCCTCTTCCCCGCACCCCCTTTTGTTTAATCTCCCTGGGCTTTTTACTTGTTTAGGAACTGGAAGCGGTTCATGGCAAGTACCCCGAGTCCTAGCCCACCCGTTCTCTGCACACGGTTGCTGCGGAGGACGTCACACGCGCACAGACACACGCCTGGCTTTGGGGGAAGTCGTGGCACTGGGTCTGCAGAGTCCGCTGAGCACGCATCTTCGCAACGCCGTCGTGAAACTTAGGAGACCCCGGAGTGTCCTTGGGCTTGGGTGGGGTGTACCATGCCCGTCACAGACAGGCCCACCTGCCAATCAGAAGGGAACTGTCCTAACCTGAGATGGGGCCTCAGGAGTGGAAATGGCTGGTGGGGAGTGACAGAGACGGGAGATGGGGTGGCCACGGGGGAGCCGCCGGCCACAGAAGGGGAAACGGAGGTGCAGGGAGCGGAGTCTGCCAAAGCCGCGTGGATGGCCAAGAGATATGCCTCGGTGAGGGCCGGGGGACTTCCTCTGACAAACCCCCCTACGGCCATTCCCAGCCATCCGTTTTCGTGCAGCCGCAGATGCAACCTGTGGAAGAGGCGGGAGGAGGCCCGTGAGTCAGCCCCGCTGCGCCTTCCCGCGGGTGGGAGCCGGGACTCAGGCGCGGACGCTGCTGCCATCTAGTGGGAGATGCCTGCTACTCCTCTCGGTTCCTAACCCCAGGGTCGTTCCCGGCTGAGCACTGAGGCAGGTTTAGGGGAGGATGGCGGAGATCCCTGTGCCCCTGGATCTGGAGACACAACGCAAGGAGGAGCCTCAGGAAGGAACAGCGCCCCCAGGAAGTGTGCATTGCCCACACTGCTTTTCCCCACTGTGCCGTGATTCCCTCCCGTGTATAAGGGAGACAAGAGTACCTGCCTCTGGAATGGGCTCAGTGGCTCACGCCTGTAATCCCAACAGTTTGGGAGGCCGAGGCGGGCGGATCATCTGAGTTCAGGAGTCAGAGACTAACCTCACCAACATGACGAAACCCCGTCTGTACTAAAAATACAAAAATTAGCCAGACGGTGGTGAGCGCCAGTAATCCCACTATTCAGGAGGCTGAGGCAGGAAAATCGCTTGAACCCAGGAGGTGGAGGTTGCAGTGAGCC